ATTTTATTAAAATAACTTAATTTTAAAATATTTTTTATCTAATTAAAATATTTTTTCTGTTTAATTTTTTCCACACCGGAAAGGATAAACATTAATCTCTTTTCATGAACCCCAATACTCCGGCTACACGTAGTCACACTAACACAGATACGCTTTCACCCCAGTTCTAATGGATCCCAAAGGCACCATCATCTTTTCCACCATCAACAAGCCAAACTATGTCTTCGATGTCTTTTCGTCCAACTAAACCACATCACTGTCGCCACTGAGGATCGCCTCACTGACGACTGCTCCATCAACTTCAACGCCCAATTCGTCGATGAAGACCAATCCGTTGTCTTCATGTTCGAAAGATCAAGATCGCCCAGAATCTAACTCACTCGCTCTGGCCTACCCAATCCCGAGTAGCTAGCATCCGTGCCCCTCAGCCTCTTTCACGATCGTCCCATCTTGAAGAACAATCGCCTCTACTTTGTTTCAGCTTAAGAGCAGCCCGATCGCCAATTCCAAAGCTAGGCAACTATTCACTCAACTGAAATCGGTGATAAGGACAAGAAAATTATGCGATTGACCCCTTACGAGGCCGTCGATTACAACCTTGCAGTTTCCAAGTCTGGGAAATTTCTTGCCATCGCATCTTATGGGTCTCGCTTGTGGGGCGGTGAATTTCACAAGCTCAACTGGATATAGTTGTTTTCCCATAATCTGATTCGAGGATGATGACGATGATTCGAGTGATGGCGAGGATGATGAATCAAATGCTGAAAGTGATTTGTCCGACGATCCGTTGGCTGAGGTTGATTCGGACGATGAAGGCTTCATTGCCGCCGTAGGTGAGAGCAGAGAGTGCAGACCAAATTCATTTTTGAAATTGAAATTTATGGGTTATAGGGTGAAATTGAAATATACGAATTTTATACTTTTGAATTATTTGGGTGAAATACATGTATTTCACTTAAATTCAATAACTCTTTATTTAAGTAAAAACAAAGTGATATTGACATTGAATTTGAAGTGTCCAAATTCAAATATATCCGACAAAATTTATCTTCCCAAACAGAGCATAAGTGATAATTGTTTCAATAATTTTTATATAATATTATATATTATTTAATAATATTTTATTTTATTTTATTTTACTTAAATTTATAATAT